AAAAAAAAAAAACAAAATTTATAATTTATTTCTTGCTAAATATACACATCTGATAATTTTAAATTAAAAAAAAAAATTAAAAAAAAATTATGAAATTTTATGTGTATTTATGTTGTCGTATGTTTAAATGCATATTTTTTTTTTGTCATTCTCTGTTTTTTTTTTTTTCTTTAGTTTATTCACCAAAATTTTTAATCATTTATTTCAGGCGTTTTTTTTTTGGTTTTTACATAATTTAAAATAGCTTTTAAAAAATTAAACTGCTACCTAAGAGCGTAAAATGGTGGCTGTCATATAATAATAAATACACAATACACACTTAGATGTGTATTTTCTTCCTTTAATTTTTTTTTTTAAGACAAGTCTTTCTTTCTTGTTTTCTTTTTTTGCTATTGAGTAGTCAGTTAATACAGTGAATGTAAGTCAATTGCTTCATTTTTATATCATCTTCGCTAAGCCTAGTCAATAATCTATGTTTGTCTAATTAACTAAGGTAGAATCAGAAAAAGGAAAAAAAAAAAAATCCGAGTAAACAGACGACCAACCAAATGAAGACCTAATTTTTTTTAGCTTTTTAGCTTTTTTTAGCTTTTTTTTTTTTTTTGCTCAAACACAGATTATGTTGACTATAAATTGATGGTCCACCACAGATTACAGATGGTGGTAAGTAAGAGTGATTAAGATTGGACAATAGAATAGGTTGATAATTGTTTCTGCTGTTTATACTATCTGAAAAAAAATTTTTTTTTGACTGCAATATATAATAATTGTTGATCAGTTTTAATTTTGCGTTGTTAATCAACACATTTTTTTTGTTCATTGATATTTTTAGATGATTTGTCAATGAATAGAGCTGTATATTGGAACATTGTGTTTATTTTACTTTTCTAATAGCAACTAATTATGTTTTAACCTTGTTTTTTTTTACAGAGAATATCAGAAAGGAATAATAAAGGAAAACAGTGGAGAAACAAAAAACAAAAAGAAAAGAAAAGAATAATAATAGAATATGCATGAAGAAGATTGTTGTCTACCAAGTTTAGACTGGCTTATTAAAGCTTATCAAACGATACCAAATCCAAATTCGTTTGAGCAAATTAAACCTGTAAAATCGTCATCAATACCGCAGTTATCGTTGTCGTCATTGCCGTCGTCATCATTAAACAATTTGCCAATTCGAACAGTTATTGAGGTAA